GCCAGTGGCTCAGAGCTGTCCAGAATCAGGTCATTTTAAATCGAATGCTTCTTTGAAAGCCTCAGCTCCTAGGAGGGCTGAGTGCTAACACCCTGGTGGTCATGAGTGCAGCATGAATTTCCTTCGGGGACCCAACTGAAGCAGTGAAACTGATCTTTTTGTTTTGCAGAAAATGCCCAGCTTGCTGCTAGCTGCTAAGGTGGGCCCTTGGGGCAGCTGTGTCTTCGCCCTGGTGTGCTGTGGGGTTCTGTCTGTGGCTCCAACATTCGCCTTCAAAGATTCTTTTCTGAAGTGGCCTTGGAGTTGCTTTCTGATGTATTACTCTATTTGACTTTTTTGCAACATACTTATCATTTCTTGATACTTTCTACTTATTATTTTATATCTTATTAGCTCTTCTCCCCAACACTGCCAGACTATAAGCTGTTTGAGGGCAGAAACTACAACTATCTCGTTCATGATTTCACCCAGAATCGAGAATATTGCCTGCTCTGCATCTGGAAAGATGAAAACAAAGAAGCAGTAGAAAGAGAGGAGGAGGAAAGAGCGGCTCAGATCTGGTCCAGGAACTTTCCAGACTTTTCTCACTGGGCTGCTGCACCAAAAATAAGCCCTAAATGCTGAATAGAATTTCAATACAATTTTGATTGATGAGAGCAATAATCAATGATTTAAAAGTTTGAAGGTGAAATTTTGGTTTGCTGGAAGTTTGGCTGTTTCCTGGGTATCACTGTGAGCAATGTTAGATTCCATGACGAGTCCTCATCACTCTGAGGGGAACTTTTAATTGGCAGATATAATGAAACTTGTTAAATCTAAGAAAGTTATACAGAAAGCTTATTATTCAAGCCACTTTTTTGGTTCTCATTTATGTATTCTTTTATATCAGTTAGGCATCTATGCTACGAATGTTAGTGCAAACATCACAGCTAAACACGGATGTAGAAGGAGACACAAGTGGAAATACGGTCAGAAAACACGAAAGTAGAGATTGCGGTTCCCTGAAGATTAGCAGAGGCTCAAGAGGAGTCCACATTTCCTGTTGTCCTCTAGAAACTGAGGAAGTTGACGGACAGTATGAAGACAGAGTATTTGGAGATCTCAGAAAAGGATGTCTTCTTTTTACAGTGTTTTTATTAACATAAAAAAATAAGACCTATGCAGAAAGGCCCATTTGTGCTTGGAACTCAGTTTAAAAAGTTATAAAAAAAAAAAAGAGAAAGTAAGAGTTGGGTGGGGTGGTGGCTTGATTCCAAGGTGGCGCCCATTCCTGTCCCTGTGTTTGTCTCCCTGGGGAACTGGGAGGGATACAGTTAAGGCTCCCAATCAGCTGACTTCAAGATAATAAAAAGGCATGTTAACCTTGCTGGGCCTTGGCCTGTCCTTGGTGACACCACAGCCACTGAGGAGACCCATATGGGTAATAACCCAGAAGGCCACGGACCTGTGGTGCGATCTGGGACCCTCAGTCCTACAGCCACAGGGGATGATTTCTGCCTGTACCCAGGGGTGTGGGAGCAGATGGGAAGCTCAGCCTGGAAACCTGCTGCTCCCAAACTCCAGGGGGTCTGGCTATCCTGAGGGCCACCAACTGGCAGGAAGCAAGCCAGAGGTCCCTCAGCTGAGCATGCAGCCCCTCCGGCTGGCTCATGTCCGTTCTGGGTTGACCAAACTGAATGGGGGGGTTCAGACTGCAGAAGTTACAGAGTTTCCTCCAGAGACCTGGTTACTAATTCGTTTGTTTCAAGACAAGTGATAACTGTCAGCTTAACGTTGTTCACAGTGAGCCTAACTTTATTATTCTCAAATTCAGACCTTAATCTTTCACTTTGTGCTAAGCAATCTCGAATGCCAAACACATGTCATGCACACCAGCAGCCCCCAGTAAACACAGGTGGCAGGCACTGTCCCTCGGTCACGACACAGCTCCCACGAACCAGCTTCAGGCTCTTGGAACATGGCCCAGGCCTTCTTCCCACAGGTCCTTTCCTCATCCCGCGGGGACGGAGCCCAGGTTACACACACAAGGTGCAAGCCAGTGTCTCTCAGACCACATATATTTTTTATTACAGGGTTATTTTTCAGTACTTTGGTGTGTGGTATGCTATTTTAAAAGGAAATAAAATGCACTTCCCAAACTTTTCCAATCTCATTTGATCATCAAGCCTATTTAGTGCACCTCTGCCCAGTTCCCCTTGGAAGAGTTTGATATTTATGGGTGGTCCAAGTCCTATTCCTCCTGCATTGTTTTTATTTCAATGATTATTATAATTATTATATTATATTGTTATTTCTGTGATATTATAAAGTGATTATTTTATAACCATTTTTATTTTTTCATAGTGATATAGATTTGAGTCTCTTGCTGTAAGCTGCTGGAGGAGCTAGTCTAAATAACAAGCCCACCTAAGAGATCACACAGCGTTCGCATTTCAAAGATCAGTTTTAGAAAATTATCCTCATTGACCATTGACTCTGAGGAAACCGTCCCAAGAGCTTTTCCCTCCCTTAGAGAGTGCACACTCCAGTTTATGTGAAGGCAGCCCTGGATGACGCCTGCTTTCCCATCTCACTCATTGACAGTTCTCTGGTTTCCTAATCCAAGCATCAGTTAATCCAGCGATCTCACCACATTCAGCTCACCATTCTCTAACAACGGTGTCACCACCCCTATTTTACCAGTGAGGAAGCAGGAGCCAGGGAGAGAACTGGTTCACACAGCCAGGCCCCAGCCAAGCCGAGGTTCAAGTAAGGCTGGAATGGCATCGAGGCTGACACGCTGAGTCCCGTGCCACCCTGGCCACCTCAGTGCATGCTGTCTAACATGCACAGAATTACTGAGAAGCACTGCTGTCTGTGTTTTGAGGCTGAGAGTACCGATGAGTGATGCAGTGTTATTTATAAATCTGAGCCTCTTGTGTTGAGAGTTTTGCCTTCTGCCCTCTTTAACTGCCAGTCGTATCTTGAAGGGCAGATCTCACAAAATAAGGCAGGGACAGCTACAGAGAGGCCTGGAGTGGGACACCAGGCTCTGTGCCAATCAGCTGTGTCCCCATCAGGCTCTCCATGCAGCAGCGTCTCCTAGGTATTCCCCGTGTGGACCAAGGAACATGATGTATGAACTCTGGGGAGTCCCAGTTACTAGTCCCAGACTCGAACACTACAGGATGAGCCAGGAGTGCACACAAGGATGTACCTGTGACTTGAGTGACAAGGCTGATGGCATCTGAAAATAGAATAGTCCCATTTTCTAAACATTAGGGGTCTCACTGATGGAATTCTCAAATACTGATTAGGGAAAACGTATGTGACTCATCCATTCTTTTGAGTATTTAATGACCTGCTTAAGCTTTAGTCATAGGGATTGTTAAAATAAGAACATCCTTTATTGTATTATTGAGTTTTGTACTTTCAAAAACTCTTTTAGAGTAACTTTTTGTTCTCACAGCCTTGTTTTCAGTGTGGGCCCTGTTTGATGCCGCATTCTGGATCTGGGCTTCTCTACCTCGGCATTCTGGCCTTTGGGGACAGGTTACTGTGTCCTGTGTGCCGCATCCTGGTCTCCACACACTGACCCAGGATGACCTGCTCCCCATGCACTCATCATGACCCATAGTATCCTCGACACCGTGGCGTCTGGAGCAGAGGGACAATGGTCCCGGCTAAGAAGCCACTGGTCTGCTTCCTCCTTGTTATTGGTGAAAACTCACTAGAAGACAAAGGAGTTGACATCAAGAATAAAATCTTCCGATAGCCCCGGGTAGCAGTTCTAAGTTCTCTAGAAATGAATTACTTCTCAGCTGACCAATTAGGAGCCGATGAAGGGGAGGGCATCTGAATGATGGGTGCATCTGAAGGGTGCCCACTCCCCGACTGACGTTTCCATCAGGGAGGAGGAGCACGTTGCAGGGCATCAGCTCAGTGCGCTGCATTCTGCACGCTCTGCGGGCTGCATCTGTGGACTGGGGTGGGAAGGTGGTGCTTCCTCACGCGCATTTGCAGTGAGGATCACTCCTGCGTTTGCATTTTCGGCCCTGTCCCTTTGTGTCTATTTTCATTTCTTCCTCGCACGCAGCAGGAATGGTGAGGACCTGGACTCCCATCCCGTTCTTCTCTAGTGACTTTCCTGGCTCTGACAAAGCCGAAGGTGGAGGGTAGGAGCCCTACTAAGGAAGCTTGAGGGTGGCCTTGGTGTTTCTTTGTGATGACAAAGTAGCGGGTTTCCAGTGTTGTAGTATGCCGTATAAGAGGCCTGGCTTCAGTATCTGTCAGCCCAGTTTGCCGAGCCCTATTTAGAGGTCTTGACTTCAGATTTCTGTCTATGTTAGACACTTGAATAACATTCAGGTCTTGTCCCTCACGGCCATCCCTAATGACATCTCAGGGAAGAAATGAGTGAACTGTGTCATAGTTAAAAAGTTGGCACTTTACCTACCATTGGCTTTCTCATTTTTAATAAGAATAAAGCCAATGAGTAGTGAACTGTTAACATCAGCCTTACATCTGCACGCAAGTCCCTCCTTTGGATGTGATGCATTTACTTGAATTTTATGCATCTGGGCAATTGCAGAAAAGGTCTCAGCCCTCTTATTGGTTTTCCTGTTTGGATGGGGTAGCCCACAGTCATGGCCTCAGTGAGGTTCCGCTTGTGCAGTTTTTAAAAATAATCTTGGATATGAAACTGTGGATTGAATTTCTAGAAGTCACAATTGGAAATTTCTTCTATTAGGGACTGATGAAGCTACTGTGTTAATTTTAAAGTGAACCTATTTGAGAACGTTAGTAGATATCAGAAATCTAGGGTGAACATTTTACAGAATGACTTTAAATAAATGCTGCTGTCACTGTTTAGAAACTAGGAAAAAAGTCTGTTCTACTCTTTGGGCCTTATCTAATGAATGTAAGGAAGGTTATTTAAAAACATTTGATTGACCTTTAAACAAATAAGCAGAAAAACATTTTTGGTTAATTCTCATTAATTTGTTTTGAAAAATCACACACAGATTTAAACACTTTATTTGCAGTATTTATACATGGAAATAATAATATGATAAAACTGCATTCTACTTCAAGCTAGTAAATTGTTTCTAAGAAATAAATAGATGAAATTTTAGAGTTTTCTAATGAAAAAATAAGCTCTGGAAATGCATATTAATTCGAAGGACAGAAAAATTTTAGAACAAGTTTTTTTCAGGGTTACATGCAGATAGGAGCTCAATATAGGAAGGTTTCTGGAAACAAGATATAACAAAAATAATACAACCTTTGAGTTTAAGAAATACAGACAGACAGCGGACCCGTCCCTAACCGAGAAATACACGTGGAGTTTGTACTGTCATGGTTGTCCTCAGCAGAGGAGCAATCTATTCAGTTTGGTGCCTTGACAGGCTCTGTCACCTTGCTACAGCATTTAACTCCTCTGCTCTTATTTTTCTTTAATTTTCAAAATGAGAACTTGCTGTTTTGGTGACAAAGTCATTGTAAAATACAAGCATTGTCACAGAATGCTGTTGGTCCCTGATAGGCGATTTCAACACAGATTGAACTGCTTGAGGCAAGCATACCGCCAGTACTTTGTGGTAACTACAGATTCCCAAATCCCAAGGCCTTCTGCTTTCAGGAATTCGCAGTATAGAAAAAATCCAAATGTGAGCTTGCTTTTCCCGGAAAGCACAATGTCTGCAGTCGTGAGATTCATTATAATAACCTGCAGATGAGACCACAGAAAACGTACTTGTAAATAATGACTCATCAACTGAAATTTATGAGGTAGCACAAAAACACCCCGATACATAAATCTTGTTAAAGAACAATCACCTCTAGCTTGAAAACTACACATGTTTATTCTTTCAGGAAAAGACAATAAAATATTTAAAGACTGCTATTTCCTAGATAAATGATTCAAGTCCCTAACAAATCTCCTTTAGTTTTTCTAATATATATGGCTAATATTTTACCTTCTTTAATGATCTTTCCTGCAACAGACACCAAATTCCTTTTCAACTTGGAGTGGAGCAGGAGGCTACAACATTGAAAAAAAAGACTCATGAGTTATCACCATTTCCATTTTAAGTCTGAGAAAACATGACAAAATCATTGTTGATTTCACAGCTTTGTGGAGGCAACTGTCGTGATCATGGTGCATCTTAACAGGAAGCAGAATCACTGTGAAGTTCAGCTACATCAAAGTCCTTGCATTCCAATTTTATGTTGATTGAGAGAGAGAGAGAGAGAGAGAGAGAGAGAGAGAGAGAGAGAGAGCTGCCAAAGCATTGGGAATTTATATTTGGTTCCCCTTATCCAAAAATATGCTTTGAAAGAAAACAAAAACCAAAACAAAACATGCCAGAGTTTTGTTGTTCTTCAGATTTTGTAGAAGCATCTGCTTAACCCATAACTTCTGGGATTTGGTGCATCTCATAATTCTGCTCTATTTGAATGTGCCGTTTCGTTAATCATGAGTAGCCCTTTAGTTTATTGATGGCCACAGAGTGATCCAGAGATGAAAATATTCAATTCCTAAGGGTGAATGACTTTTATCACTACTTACGATTTACCTGAAGGATTAAAGTAATCCTAAAATTGTTTCTTTCTGGAGCTTACTAGCGAAAAATCCAGCTCCCACAGGATATTGGCTATATAGTGCATATGCAGATATTTGGATTCTCTTTCTTTCTTTCTTTTTTTCTTTCTTTCTTTCTTTCTTTCTTTCTTTCTTTCTTTCTTTCTTTCTTTCTTTCTTTCTTTCTTTCTTTCATTGTACCAGGGACTGAACTCATGACCTCATGCTTGTTAGACAGTTTCTTTATACCGCTGAGCTAAATCCCCAGTCCAAGATATTTGGATTTTTATGAAGGAAAACTTGTGGTTGGAATATTATTATGTTGTTGGAGCTGGTCTGGGTTTTCTGTTATAATTGTCTTTGATTTATATTATTTTAAAAATCCTTTTTAGCAATTTCTTTTTAGTTAAATCTATGATGTGAAGTAAAGCATATTTACATCAGTAATATTTTGGGGCTATATTTTCTATAACTAGACTTTAACTGCTGCATGTTTTAGTTCAAACAGACTCATCATATTCCTACCGTTAAAACTGTGTACTCAAAACTCCTCTAAGGTTTATTTTTTGGGGACCTGGCTGTGTAAGGGTCAAGTTGCTGACCACAGTACTCTCTGGCTGCGTTGAAAAAGCTCATATTCACGGCTGCTGAAGGCCATAGCTGAGAATATTTGGCTTTCATTCCTATTCCGAGGCCAGAATCACCGACCTAAGTGATAAGACAGCGCTTCCGTTAGTGAGGTGTACAGTTCAGGATGTCTTTGTTCTAACTTCTCAAGGCCTTGCACAGACGTGCCTTCCACTTCCTGCACCCTCCTGATTTGCTAAGGGCCCACTAAATGCAGAGGGCCGCGGGAAGTCTTAGCGTTAGCTCCATGAGAGTCTGACTTTCCTGGGTCCTCAAACTCCAGGTTACCTGGCTCTTTCATGTAAACCTTCATTGTGTACAAGGAAGTTGACAGCCTGATCAGCTCCTGATATTTATTTTTTCTGTACATGTTGAATTCAGCCACATTTTGGCCTCAATGGTTTTTTCTTTTGAGTTCTTTCTTCTTGGCTTTTTCCCACTCCAAATAACTAATTTTTTTCTTCTCTTCTTTTGTACTGGGATTGGATTGCATCCAGGCATTTTGTACTGAGCTACAACCACAGATCTTTCTGTATTTTTTTTTTTCTTTTTTGGACAGGGGTTTGCTAATTTCCTTACGTTACTGCTCATGAATTCTGTACACAAATGTTCATTTAAACTACTTGGTTCATATTTATTACAAAGGATACAGTTAAGAGCCTCATGTTGTTTCTCAGTAGAGAAAGCCTTTGTATTTTATAACCATTAGAATAAACACAACGTACCTTATTGCTGAGTGGGATGCTGTATAACATGTTTTCATTGCGAGCAGCGGTCCCTAGAAATACACATTCTGTTACAATCTCTTCAGTTACTATATATATATGATTCATGTAATCATCACTTGAAAAGCTGGTGAGTACAAAGATTAAACAGAAAAATTATGAAACTCAAAAAGGGCACACTGGAAATGCACCTCTGGAAAGTATGTTATGAATTTCTCCTACTCACATGGCTTGACTTGGGTAGAACACTGAGTAGTCACTTTGGTGTAGAAACGACGCTCTGACTCCCTCTGAGAAGTGATTTCACTAGTTCCTCCCTCCTCCCCTCTTCTTCCTCCTCCTCCTCCGACCCCCAGCACTCACTCACGAAAGTGGCCGAGGGCCAAAGCGCCATCCCCTAGGAATCCCCTAGGAATGCTTGCTCCTGCCGCCCCCACTTCCTGTGCCCCGGGCTCTCCACTTTCCACCCCAGCTGCAGCTGTGTTTCCCTGCCTTTTCCTCCCATGCTCAGGTTGTGGTCCAGGCCGTGGACTGCAGCTTCTGGATTCTTCTAAGCTCCCTAACAGGCCACTACCTCTCAGTGCTCTCCTGACGCACATCCCACCCGTCACATTCAAGGGCACTGCTCTCCTGAGTCTTAAACGCATTTCATTGGCTCTTCTATCCTTTCTCCTTCTTTTATTAGTAAAGGTTTGCAATACAGAATAAATGCATTCATTGTGGGGAACAGGTGCATCTGCAAACTTCATCTCAACCCTCTTACTTTCTTTTCCCTTCTCCCTCCTGTCTCCCCTTTCTCTGGGTTCCCTTCCCATTTCCATTCTTTAATTCCTGCGTATCAGCCAGGGGCTTCCACTTCCATACATCCGCACCAGTGCCAGTCTCTACATCAAATTCCCATGCACAAGTGTCACCCGCTTGCAGCTCTCGGGGACGTGCAAAGGTCACACCGAGGTGGTTGTGAACAGCCAGGTCAGTCAGAGCCAAAGCTCCTGCTTTAATTTTGTCACAAGACCTCTAGCAGTGATATGCTAGAGTCACTTCGCATTTATTTTGGGTGTCAGGTGATTTTGCATATAAATATCAAATCTAGGTGAATTTTTAGGCCGACCTGCCCAATGTTACTGGATTCAGATTAACTGAAGTTGATTCAGGTACTTTGTTTTAGTCTTAAATATTTCAATTAATGCCAACACTTACCACTTGGGTGGTGCACGATGGTGAGTTTTTCTAAAAGACAAAGTAAAAAATATACTCTTAGGTTTTGTTCAGGACTTACCCAATGCATGGTTTTTGTTTGTTTGTTTGTTTTACCGTTTTCCTACTTTGTGTCTTTAAAGAGACTTTGAAATTTCAGTCTAGGCTTAAAACATTAATCCTAACCTTAAACTCATCTACTCTGGCCCCCAAGTCTGAAATGATTTCTGCAATCATTATGTTCTTTTTCTCTTCCAACACTGGTCTCAAGCTGTTGCGGTTTTTGGTACTTCTGGTAGTTAATACATCTTGCTACTCTGCCCACTGCTTCTTTTGACTACATTCCATTCTTTTTAAAAATCAACATTATTCAGGAACAACTATGTTCAGTGCAAATTAAACATTGTTAAATGTACAAGTTAATGACTTTTCAGAAATCTATGTAGCCACATACTCATCAACCCAACAGGATGGATTCTATTTCATATCACAGAACATTCCTTCGTATTCCATATCACCATCAGAACATGACTCATGATGACTCTGGTCTGATTTTAACATCTAGTGAATAGTTTTGTCCAGATTTTTATTACAGTATCTAGAATTTGAGATAAATGGAATCTTGCACAGTGTACTGCTTTGTGTTTGATGTTTTTGCTAGGTTCCCTGAGATTCATTTAGATTGTTCTGTATAATAGAAGGTATTTCTTTTCATTGCCTTGAGTGGTATTCTACGGTAAAAACACACCATGGTGGAATTATCTACCTCCCGCTGGACATTTGAACTGTGCCCATGTGGTTATTATGAATCAAAGTGCTGTACTTTATGCACATGTCTTTGGTGGATGTGTGTTCTCACTTGGCATGTCTGTGCCATGTATTAAGCACATATGTGGTGTTTCCCAAACCATTAGATCATATCGTGTGTCAGGTGTGTCCAGCTGTACATCCCAAACCACACTGAAGCCTGATAGTCTCACAATAGTGAGTATGGCTGCCTACTGTTATGTCATCCTGGTTTCATTTGCTGGCACCTTTTTTGTGCTTTGTCAGCTAAGCTTGGGTGGTAAATGTAGTCTTTGGAGCCAGACTGTCACTGCAGATAACTGCTCTGTAGGTACGTAGATAGACAGATAGAGACATAGATATCCATGATTAGTTAGACTTCTGCCTGGGATTCCAGAACATGGCAGTGTTCACCCCAAATCCCCTATTTCTTCGGTCTGACTCCCTTCTCTGGCAGCAGAGAAACTGGTTTCTGTGATCTGTAGTACATTTATATGTTAGTTAAATCTTAGAATATCCATAAAGTAGTTTTAAATATTAAACTATATTTTTGTGGATAAAATAACTATTAACTGGATTAAAGTGCAATTTTTATTTAGTGTTCTTTTTTACTTTTAGCCTTAGAATACTCTGCTTTCTAGATTAATGTTCCTTTTTACATTTCCCTTCTGTGTGGCTATGTTATTTATACTAATGCATTCCTACTTACATTGTTTTGCCTCATTTCTTACCTCTTTGTTATTTATTAAACACATAAAATACTGACAAAGTTCTAAAAGTCAGAAGGATACCAGGAAGTATACTCAGAGAAGTTCCAAGAAGTGTTTTTTAAAATATTTCCTTGTTGAGTCAGTTTAGTAAATTTCATTCTTTTAAGTAATTTTCTTTTCCTATTAGTTGCTAAGTGCACTGGCGGCAGGTGAATTGTGGTTTCACGGTGTCTCTCCAGTGCCTGTGGGCACTGCTGTGGTGACTATGGCTCTTGTCATAGATAATTCTTTTCTTTTTTCCTTGACCATGCCTGCCAGAGTTTATCAATTTTATTTATGATTTCAAATGACTTATTCTGGCTTTGTAAAAGTTCATTTGTTTGGCTTGTAATATTTTTGTTGATTTTTCATCTTGCCCTTTTTATTTTCTATTTTTTGATTGTTTGCTTTACAATTTCTAGTTTCCTAGATGGAAACTTACAGCACTGAGCTAAAGCTTTTTGGCTTTTCTAGCATAACGTCTACAGTCCTTAAATTTCTCTCTACCTTAACTGTTAACTGCATAACCACTTTAGCTGAATTCCACAAATCTGGTGTTGCTCACCCACTATCATTCAGGTTGAAATATTTTCTTAGGATTTTCTATTTGCCTCATGATTATTTTGGAATGTTGCACTTGATTCCTAAACACTTGGAGAGACTCTGTAGGTATCTAATTGTTTTCCATTTCACTTTGTGGTGCTGAATATGACTAAATACTCCCTAGAACATACTCTGAAGGTTTTAATCTTTCAATATTACTTGAAACTTCTTGATGATTCAGCTGTGTCTGTCTGGAGACTCTCCCGTGCACACCTCTGATGAACTGGAGTTTCTATTCTGAGGTATTGGGTGAATGCTATGTTCACCAAATGTCCAGTAAGTGACATTTGTTGGTATCATACTTCAAACCTTCTATCCTTTACTGATTTTTACTATTCTACTAATTACTAAGAGAAAAGTGGAAACATCTTAGTACTGTCAAGTACTTGCTTGATGAGGTCTGATAAATGCACACGCATAGGTAGTAGAGAATACACAGGGACTTAGAGCTGTTGTTCTTGGTGAACTCCCCTTTACCACTATGCAGCATCTTCGTCTTGAAGTTTATTTTGTTGCATGTTAGCGTGGTCACGACCGTTTTCTTTTCCTTATTGTTTTTTTTTTTTTTCATTTTTTATCGGTACCAAGGATTGAACTCATGACCCCGTGCTTGCAAGACAGGCATTTATGCCGCTGAGCTAAATCCCCAACCCCTCTTTTCCTTATTGTTACCATCACAGATCTTTTACCATCCTTCATTTTCAAATTATCTACCTAATATTTAAGATGCTTGTCTTCCAGTCAAAACTTTATCATTTCTTTTTTGTCCGACTTAACAATATTTTTCTCTCCAATAAGTAGTTAACACATTGAGATTTAACATAATTACTGATCTGGCTCAGTTTAACATGATCATCTTGTTCTTGATTTTTTGCTGACCCATTTTATGCATATTCCACTTTGGGGTGTTCTTGCTTTGTTCTCTGTGAATCAAATAGTTCTTTAGTGCTCCATTTCATTTCTTCTAAGTAAAAGGTTCTTTTACTTATTTTTTAAGGTTACTTTGTGACTATAACATACAACTTTAGTTAATTACAGTAGCCTACTCTGAGCCTGTCTGTGCACTCCCTCCTGCTTCACACCCGCTGCCTGGCTCTGTGCTCTATATCTTGTCCTCTGCGTAACTGAGTCTCACAATCTGCGCTTTGCCATGCAAACCTTCATGTGTCTGCACCGTCTGCTCTTTGTGCGATTACTTTAGTATCTTGTCCTTCACATTTTACACTTCGATTTGGGTGTTAATGTTTTTGGCTCCAACAAGTTGTCTTTTAAATAATTTTTACAAAAAGAAGGAAAATGTAATGTTTCACGTCTTTTTCCTTTGTATGATTTTTACTGTGCTTTCCCCTTAGGGTAGATCTGTGTGGAATCCTTTTTATTAATATTCTTTTCACCTGTATGGTATCCTTTAGCATTTGGATAGTTGCAGTTTTGCCACAAATTCTCCAGTCTGGACATAACTTTATTTGAGGGATATTTTCCCTGCATATAGAGTTGAGTGGTCTTTTTTCTTTGAAGATATTATTACATTGTCTTTGGCTCTCTATCCACTTAACAGTCATTTAGTCAAGGGTCTTATCCTTTCCCTGTAGAAGTGTATCTTTTTACTCAGTCTGCTTTTAACAATTTTCCCTTTACCTTGGGTTGAAGTACTTTCATCACAAATTGCATAGAGGTCATTTTCTTAACAATTATGCTTATTGGATTTTTTTGTTTGTTGTTGTTTGAAGTTCTTAGAATCTATGGAAATAGTTTGCAATAAATGCGGTAATTGTTTGGACATGATTTGATTATAAATGCTTTGCCCCAGACTCACTCTCTCATTCTAGGTGCTAATCATATGCAGGCTCAACTGGTTATACTAACACAAAGCCCTTTATGGAATAATTTCTATTGCTCTTTCTACAAGTTCGCTAAGTTTCTGTATACTTAATCTGTTAATAAGTTCATTTGATAACTTTTCATTTCTTATATTGTAAAACTTTATTTAAAAATTTTCCACCCATTTCTTTTGTGTACTTTCAATTTTCTGCTAATATTTCCTTTTCATTTGTTCCTTCAAACTGTATTTTTCATCAACACAGTTTCAACATGAGCTGCTTCTGAAACTTCGTTCAGGTCAGCGCTGGCCAGCTCCCGCACAGTTTCTGTCCATAGCTTTCTTTTTCTTCACCACAGATTCTTATTTCTTCGTACATTATCTTTTTTCTTTGCAGTTGAAACATGCATATGACAACCGGTTGCATGTTATGGGCCTTATAATATTCTTGGAATGAGTGCAGGTTGCTTTAGCAGGCTGCTCAATTTCCGACATACGCTTGCATAGATTTGACGTTACTCTTCCTGGTTTGTCGGAAGCCCCAGGTGAGATACAAGGCCCTTGGGAGACTTGGCCTGCAAACGTTGCCTCCTGTGTGGTTCCTGTAGGGCTTGGTTGTAGGCTTTCTTGCAGCACAGCTAGAGTAGATGCTGCTCTAAATCAAGGTGCTTCCTCCTTGGGTATCTCTTAAGGATGCCTGGTGCTTTAAGAAGATACTAAGACTTTTTTACTTTGCAGGACAGCTGCACAGACTTCGCTAGTGTCTCTGTTTCGGTTTCAGACTCTAGGAGTTGCCACCTTGTGAACCTTGAGTGGTCTCACCGTAGTCATGGACACCTCAGACTTTCAGTTTCTCTTCGGGGCCTCTGGGCCCTGCTCTCTGTGGACCTTCCGCACAGCCTAGTGACTGTGGCTGCCCTGAAGTGGGGCCTCCGTCTCCTGTGGTCTACGCCACCCTTTGCTTTGCTGAGACCATGGTTAGGAATTCATCTCCGGAAGAGACCAACGCAGCTGCGTGTGCTGCGCCTCCTGGGCTGGTGGGCTTTGCCTGTGTGCGATCTGCTTGCTGAACTCGGTCACTCCCGGACTCTGGTCAGTGTCCCACTCAGGTGGACTGCGTGTCTGCCACACCTCACACCTGTGGCTGCCGGAGAACTAATGGCTTTTCAGCTAACACTAGCAGTTTACAACGTTGATCTTGAACTCAAATGAGAGTAGGTGCCAGCTTCTCCTCTGACCTTGGGTTTTTAGTTTCTGAAAGTCCTTTTCCTTACTTGAACCTCATTTCACATTAAGATGAAAATCTGTGGGGCTTCATTCCCTATAAATTAGTCTTGTGTTTATGACCCTAATTATTTGCAGAAGTATATTTGTGCTTTAGGAAACACTTTTGAGTGTTTAAAGAACTCTCTATGGAAAACTGTATAATAGTTTGATAATATGAAGAGAAATTTCAGCATGAAATTCCCACTACTTAAAGGCAATGCAGTGTTACTGAAAGCAGATGAGTTGGAAGGTCATACACTTCTTTAGAGGCTGTTAGTTTTTAATTATCCATGCAGGAGCAGAGACTTGGGAAAACAGTGGTCATACAGTGACAACATAATTTATGTTCAATTTTGGAATGTGGTGTTCATCTTTAGAGAAAATTTATCATCTCAATAACATTTGATTTGTGTTAGCATGGAGTGCAGCCCCTCCTACCACGGCAGCTGGTAATTACTGTCCTGGGGGCTGTGCAGTGCCAGGAAGCACACTAGCTTTGGGGAAAACCGACACGAGGGCTGTAATTTAAGATGATCCACATGTGGACAACTGTGAGAACTGGCTATATTGAGAATACTCCACCTTATTACAAAGTATGACTCCTTAATTATTTGATTCCCTATGTAATGGCTAATTAAAAAACTGGAACATAATTGTCCTATTTATAACATAGCTCAACAGAAATCAAAACAGAGTAATGAGCCTTAATGGAGGGGTCGTTGCGGGTCAGAGAATAGAAGTACTTCACATATGAGCGCCATGTGCACTCTCAGCGTGTGCATAATCTTTCCTACTCTGCAGATGAGCACCCCGAAGAGGGATAAAAATGGCTCCAGGAAGCCAGCAGAAGTGACGTGGCACAGGCTGGAAGTGGTTCCGTGGCTCCCACTGCATCCCACTACCGTCTTTGAGGATCTCACTTACCATAGACATTTGCTTCTTCTGGCCTGTCCCCAATAATGGTGTACCGCAGTTGACGTAGCTTTTCCTTATAACGAGACACAGGGCATAGGATAAAGGACCAGGACATCAAAATCAAGATTGATACAGTTTTCATGGCTCAAGGTGCAAACACTAACACAAAGCTTGGTGTTCATTTGGTATTTGTGTTGTCTGGAACCCCACATCCTTGGTGAAGGTCAACTTAGTCCTTACCGCTGGTGGAAGGGGTGTAAAATATCACCAGCTCCTTTTGTTGATGTAGAAACAAGATGCAGAAAGATTAAGTGACCTCCCCAAGTCAGACGATGCCAACTGGTGGGGTCAAGATCAGAACAGAGGGCTATTCCCTATGGGAGCACTTTCCAGTCTACACTTGCTGTTGGAGACCAGAAGCATCAGAGCTACATTACCCAGGGATGGCTCCCTGGGGCCTATACCCAGCCCTGGCCTTGCGGGGACCTTCCCTCCCCAGGTTGTGAGCACTCAAATAGGGACTTGGGAACACCTGGTGCAGCTTCCTAGTACATCTGTGATCTTTCCTGGCTTTCCAGATAGTCTACAACATTATCAATAAGAGGATAAGCTGGGAGGCCGACAGTCTTTTAGAGGACAACCAAAAGTCATGCTTTTCCTGGTGGCTTGCCTAGGAACTTGGAAACCTTTTTGCTGTTGTTGTTCCCTGATCTCCTCTTAGAGTGGAGCTGCCCAGTGAGGTCCCTCTGGAGGGGTCCTCAGTGAGGAGCCTGGTGGGCAGCACTCCCTTCCCTTCTCCCGAAGCCAAGGTGCTATCTGGGTCTCCACCTTCCAGAAGCTTCACTAATAAACCAGGACGACCCCTCTCTCATAATTGCTCCAGTTTCCTGTGATAAACTTATCTCTGGGGCACAAATGTGTACTTTTCCAACTATAAAAGAAACATCAAAAAGTATGTAAGTGTATGTGTGTGTTTCTGTGTTGGGAACATGGAGAAGGAGATTATCATTATGACTGTTATTATTATCGGTATTGTTTTCTGTGCCAGTCTCTATGTTAAGGATTGGTTGATTCAAAGGAAGCCAGGGAACTTTTGGCTCTGGTACTCTCAGTGTCTGCTGGCCTGTGTCTACCGGTTAAAGAAAAAAACCTTATACACAATCTCATTCTCCCTTTTTGATGAGTCACATCAGTCTCCATAGAGTAAGAAATAAGGTTCTCCTTAAATTCTTCCCCAAAAGACGGAATGCTAATATGAAAATAAAATAGAAACAACCAAGGGATTAATGGAATGACTAGTGAAATAATTTTCAAGAAGCTGTATTAATTCCGAATTGAAATTTTTATTAAAGATCTTGGCTTACATCAGTAAAATGTATATGATGTAGCACTGCTAGACCAAAGAGTTTGGGGTTTGGCTTTGAGTACCTTTTGCTCCTCTCAGGATAAGCGGGAGCAGGGGGACTGTGCTGGCCGCGTGTGAGAGGACCTGGCTGCCGCAGTTCCCATCAGTGCTCTGTAGTGGACATTCCCCGGTGTTTGCCAGAATAACTGCCTTTGCATAAACTGGCATTGCACAATCTGGCCCAGAATCAGCCATGAGCAGAGCTGCCATTGGAGACAGGTACTTTCTGACCAGGCGTGAATTCAGAACTATTTGGAAAGTCCCTGCCCTTGCACTGTCTCTTGCCTCTATGCCAGATTCTTCAAATGTCATCACAGTGACTCATTTTCCCGTTGTTTAAAAAGTGTTCTTTTAAGCATTGCCTTTTAAATACAATTTATCTCTTGTGAAAGGTGGTGTCTGAAGCTATTATCATGTTCATTTTGGTCTCAATCGCATATTAAATGTGCTTAACCACCAGGGAGCCAAGTTCTGGGTCAGTGAGGCTCTTTGCGCAGAGGAAAGGCAGTGCTACAATATTTCGGGGGTGGGAATGCATGACTGCAAGGCAGGCTGAGCCTGGTCCTGATGCCCTCGGGAGGGGTGGATGCGGTTTGTTTCCATGCTCATCCCAGAACCACCCCTTCCATCCTCTCCCCAATATAAATTATGTTTGCAGGAGACAGGAAGGCAACTTTATCTGAAGTTAACATTCTTGGCATTGATCAAAAAACACTGCTTCTTACACACACACACACACACACACACACACACACACTCATGATTTTAATCATCTGGTATCATATATATATATATATATATATATATATATGAAACTTTTCATGTTTATGACTTTGGCTTTGGTATTATCAACTGGGCTCCAAGACTGAGTTTGCATAAATGAACCTGTAAAGGTGAAATCTCCAAATTATTTTCATGTTTTAAAACCGATTTTTACAAACACCTTTTGTAGTTGCTAGTTAAAAACAGAACAGCTGCCTGTATTTCTCATGAAGTCTTGACCCCACTAAGCCTCTAGGAGTCTGTAACAGGGACCATTCCACGGGTTCCCACGGGTCATCATTACCTGCTGAATCAATTCCAAACTGCTCTTTCCCATCTGCCAGTGTTTGAATTTCTCTAGGGCTTCATCCACAGATAGCTTTCCCTTCTTGACTTTCTCCTGGAGAAGGATGAGTTCTTCCTGCCCCGCCTCCAGGCAGCGCCTTGGAATGGATACAGCCGGGCTCTCCGTCCGAGCCTTTTCTGTAATATGAGGGTGGCAGCATCAACAGGAAGTCAGTCAATGGGTTACAAATAGAGCCAGTGGTACTTCCTGTACTTAACTGTGTAGGAGCCACTGCAGAATGGAGCAGGGCATGTTGTAATGCGCTGGGCATCAAGTTTATGGGTAAAAGAATGTGTCTCATTACTGCAAGCATAGAGGCACAAGGACAGAAAAGTTAGTAGCAAGAGTCTGACATTGTAGATTTTTGTAGGACGTGCTGATTTCTTTCGTTGAGGAATAAAAGGGACCCTGTGGACGGAGTCTGGGGTCATACAGAGTTACCCAGCACTTGTGGCCTCTTTCAAAAGGAAGCACCAAAGCAACAGCTAGCTGCTGTATTCAAGGACAGTGGGCAGGGGAAAAGGTTGAGTTTCCTTCTGGGAGCAACTCAACACATGAGAGGAACTGTAAAAGGAACCAGGGGCCAGTGAAGCTCATCAGCTCAGATGCCAGCCACGGTTGGCCACTTAAGTCTCAGGGTGTCACAGACTTCCAGTCTGGCTAAGTGACAGCCTGGGGACTGAAGTGTAGCTTTGCCTTGGAGAACAAATTCACATCTCCTCCCTGCAGCCCTCAGAACCCGGAAAGGGGAAGGACATTGTCTGGAGCCAAGGGCCTGGTTGGTGCCTCTTCCCCCAGATGGAGGACTGGATCTGTGCTGTCACTGGCTGGGACAGAAGCTGAGATTACTATGCTCCTGTTGCCCTCTGCTGCACAGCCTGTGACATCTCTTGAATCTTGGTCAGAAGGAGAGTTGTCTGTTCCTGTCTTGCTGTGTGCCCCCCACATCAGGCTAGATGCTTGTAGGCCTGCAACACCAGCAGGGCAAGAGTAAAGTGTTCCATACTGGTGCCTACTTTGAGCCCAGCCATGTGTGGGTCCGTGCTGGAACTGGGGTAGGTGCTGATTGGTCCCCTACTTCCCCCATTCCTACTACCATCATGCCATAGTTGGGGTAAGCAAAGAGGGGTGCTCTGCTGAGTACACCATCTCTGTTAGGACACTAGTGTATCCACCCCCATGCAGACTGAGAGAACAGGGGTTTCTCTGGTCTTGCTGTGGCGCATAATGGACCCAAAACCATCGACTATCGTGGAAGAAGCCAAAGGGAGATTATAGCAGACACCCAGTTAGAACTGAAGCCAGTACAGCACATAAAACCAACACCTCAGACATGTCTTCAAGAGGAAGCTGCTTCCCATGAAAGGTTCCACATCACAGTGTCAGACATAACTGATTCATCAAAGACACAAATATCAATATAGGTGACAAGAAATATGAAAAAACAAGGAAATGATGCCTCCAAAAGAACATAACTGTTTTCTAGCAACAGATATTAATGAAAACTATACTGATGAAATGTCTTATAACTAAACAAATATTTGGGAACTCGTGAGATTCAAGAAAATATAGTTTAATGAAATTAGGAAAACAATGAATGATTTGAATGAGAAATCCAGCAGAGAGAGAAATGTAGCAGAGAGAAAAATGCAGAAATCTTGGAGATAAAGAATTTAGAAAGTTTTAAAAAATATAGTTGAAAACTTCAACAAAGGAGATCAAGCAAGAGAAAGACTATCTGAACCTGAAACAGGTATTTGGAAATAGCTCAGTCAGAAAAAAAGAAAAGAAAGAACTAAAATAGGTACTGAGACCTTTGGAACATGACCAAATAAATAAATATTTACATTTTTATATACCTGAAAGAGAGGAAAAGAAGGAGAGGCTAAACAACTTCATTGATGAAATAACAGTTAAAAACTTCCCAAACTTAGGAAACGTATGTGTACTCAGCAAAACAAGCCCATGTACCCTAAATGGAAATAATTGGAAAAGACCCTGGCATATCATAGTCAAACTATCAAAATTCTATGACAAGGAATTGGGATGTGGCATAGTGTGCCTAGTATGTGAAAACCACAAAAACAAAACAAAACAAAACAAAACAAAACAAAATACCAAAAAAACCCCAGCAACAACAACAAAGAAAAATATCAGACAGAATTCTAAAAAATGCAAAGGGCCTCAAGATCGCTTTACAAAAGATGCTATAGAAAGTGCTGCACCTAAAATGAAACAAAACAAAGAAGTAAAAAATAAATAAGTAAATAAACAACATCCATCATAAACCATGTGAAAGTATAAAATACACTGGAAGAACAAGTGCATGAAATAAAATAGAAAAGAGAAAAAAATTTTATTGTACAATAAACAAACCATAAAGAATAAAGGAGAAAGAACAAAGAATATTTAAAACAAATAGAAATAATTTTACAAAATGACAGGAGTAAGTTCTCACATCAATAGTACCTTTAAAAGTAAATGAATTAAATTCTCCAATTGCAAGATATACATTGGTCAAATATATACAAAAATAGGACCCAATGTTATGCTGCCTACAAGAAACTCACAATGTGAAATGAAAGGATAGAAAAATAAATTTCACAGAAGTGGGAAGCGAATGCAAGGAAGAGGAGCTATTCTCATATCAGAAATAATATACTTGAAAATAAAAAAAAACTGTTAGAAGAGACAAAGAATGTCACTATATAATGATCCAGGTATCCATCTGACAAGAAGACATGAACTTTGAAAATGCATGTACAGCAGTGTGGGAACACCCGATGTTATCAAGCAATTGGTGCTTGACTGAAGGGAGAGGAAGAATCCAATACAACAGTGAGATACTCAACTCCACTTCTGTCAAAGAACAGACCTTCCCAACCAAAGTAATCAAGAAAGAGCAGAGTCAAATCATACTGCTTGTTAAATGGAACTACTTACAGCCAATCCATAGTCAACACCATACCAAAGAGAGACAGCTGAGAGCTTCCTCTAACATCTGGATAAGACAAGGCTGTCCACAGTTAGCAACACTGCACTGGAGATTTTGGCCAGAAAAATTAGGCAAGAACAGGAAATAAAAGGATATAAATAAGAGAAAATTAAATTATCTCTGTTTGCCAATGATATGATTGTTTATACAGAGAAACCTAACATTCCACTAAAAGACTATGGGAGCTGACAAATGATTTTAGTAAAATTACAAAATATGAAATGAATGTACACAACTTCAGTAGCATCATTATATACCACTAATGAAATTTCTGAGAAAGAAATCATGAAAGGAAACATATTCATGACAGCTACAAGACAGAAAGAAAAAAGAGAGCAAGCAAGAAAGAAAACTATACAATGTAAATTACTAAATTGCAGTGAGAAAAACTTTATTACATAAAAAGGAAAATATCCGTGGATAAGAAGAATTAATATTGTAAAATATCCACACTACCCTGAATAATCTATGGATTCAATGCAATCTCCATCAAACTGCCAATGGAATTCTGTATAGAATTAGAAAACAAGAATGCTAAACTTCGAGTGGAAGCCGAAAAGATCTGGGATAGCCAAAACAATCTTGAGCAGAAATAACCAAACTTGAAGAACTGTACTACCTGGATTCAATATATACTACAAAGATGGAAATCAAAAGAGACAGATCAATGCAGCAGAATAAAGTGCCCAGAAATAATCTCATGTATTTTAGAGTCAATTGAGCCCTCATAAAGTCACCAAAAATACACTCTGGAGAAAGGACACCTTCTTCAATAATTCTAAGAAAACTGGATATTCACATGCAGAAGACTAAAGCTTGACCCCTGTGTCTCACTTTATACAAAAATAAACTCAAAATGGATCAGAGACCTCAATGAAAGACCAGAAACTCTAAAACTAGTAGAATAAAACTTAGGAGAATCAATTTAAGACAGTGTTATTGGAAGCAAGTTATTCTTTGTTTTGTTTGGTTTTTGTTTTTTTGGAAAAGACACGCAGAACATATGGAGCAAAAGCAAAAATAGACAAACAGATAAACTGAGAAGCTTCTATACAACAAAGGAGACAATCCACACATCAAACACATAAACTCATCATCAAAGGACTATTAAGTACGCTATTCATCAAAGTACTAATATCCAGGTTATATAAGGAACCTTTAAAAAACCCCCAAATTATCCAATTAAAATGGTAAAAAAAATTACAAATATCTCAAAAGAATAAATAACTGGTCAGCAAGTCCAGAAAACATACTCAACTTCATTAGCTGTTAGGAAAATGCAAGTCAAATGCAAGGAGATGTTGTCTTACTCCAGCCACAATGACTGTGACCAGAAAATCAAAACATAAAGATGTCAGTGAGGACGTGGAGCAGAGGGTGCTCTTACATACTAATGCGAATTAATAAGCCACTAGAAAAAGTAGGAGGGAGGTCCCTAAAAGAATTAAAAATAAAACTGTCAAGGACCAACTGTTCCACTTCCCGGTACACACCTAAGAAAAAATATCAAGTACATCAAAAAGACACCTGGGTGTCTGTATTGATAGTGACACTTAGCACAGTAGTTTAAATTCTGAATCAAAGTAGATTCTACCAGTGGGATATCATTAGGCAATATTCTCTAGTTTTCAGTGAAATGGTTGGACTTGGAGGTTATGCTACGTGAGTTAACTCAGGCCTGGGTTGGCAAATACTGCATTTTTTCTCTCTCAGGTGAATGCTGCAACAAGAAAGAAAGAAACACAGATCAGAATATCTAACACAGATTAACAGAGGCTGAGGGGAGTGTAGGGAGAGGGAGGCGGAGGGAGGCCGGGGAACGTACACAAAAACATGGGCACGAGAAGTGCATCCTGGGGGCGGGAGCTCACAGTAGACCTGTACGTATCTCCTGAAAAGCTAGAAGACGGGTGCTCGGAGTCTCCAGACACAAAGGAATGACAAGGACTTGGAAACGTAAATTACCTTCCGTTCATCAGTACCTGCTATATACACAGAAATATCACACAGAACCCCAGGGTTTTTGTCCAATTAAAACAGGAAAACAATAAATTACAATACAAATAAAAAGAGGTTATATACATAAATTAGTCTGAAGTCTGCCACAAAATAAACTAAAAAACACTCATTATTGTTGATAAT